AAATGCAGATCCTGCCCGGCTTTGTTCCCCCGTCTTTGTAGGTGCCGGATTTACAACGCCCTCGCATCTTGATCACTGGCCTTACACCAAGGCCCCCTGCACCGTTCGTGTGTGATGAGCTCTTGTTAGTGTTCAGGACCACACAAACCCCAGGAGCCTTTTACCTCCTTCAGTTGCTCTTGACTGATGCCCGGGCAGGGGTGCAAAGCCCGGGGTCAGCAGCAGCCGGACGGATCACAGGATGCTTTTCAAGTTCAAGTCCTCGGTTCAGAAAGCTGCTGGAGGAGCAGCTGTTCACATGTCTGTCCTGGTGCCAGTGTGGGGGAGATCACGAGTAAGAGCAAATTACTGCTCATGCACCAGCAGCGTGAGACATCAACCCCCCTCCGGGCACGGGCAACCCCTGCACAGCGGGAAACCACGGCCAGGGAGCTTGAGATGGAGATGGATTTGGGATCCCCGCGATGCTGAGGCTCATCTCCCCCCAACCCAGGTGTCTGCCCTAGCCTGTCTCCCCCGTCCTCGACCAGCGAGCTCAAGCTGCCAAGGGGAATGTGGCTCACAGTCTGCTGGCAGACGCTCCATCCTTTTCAATTACGTGCAGTCCAATTCCCATCACGAGGAGGAGAGCCAGGAGGAAATGCCACCGAAGTCAGCGGAGTCGTGCTGCACAGTCTGGAGTGAGCAGGAGGAGCTTCTAAGCCTGGCCTACACACACCATCCGGGCCTCTTGCACCTGCCCTGTGCCGGCTCAACCCTCATTTAAATTTATGGCATCCGTTCCCAAACTAGTGGGACGTGTTTATAATTAATAAGAGGGATGTGGGGAGATGAGTCCTTTTTTCTTCTTTAAAGCCGAACATCAGACACTGTTCCAGCCTCTGCTCCCTGTGATGCAAAGCCTGCTCCAAAACCTGGTCCCCAGCTGCCAGCCTACAAGCCAAACCACAGGGCCTTGACCCCAGCAAACATCCCCCACTACAACACACAGCACTAATTTAAGCTTTTCCCAGGCTAAAGCCTTAATGATTCATGGGCTTGGAGCCCTCAGCCTGACTTAGCCCACTCACAAAAGTGGGCACCAGCACTGACACCCTCTGGGGTGCAGCCAACAGACCCCAGAACTTTGGCAGCCACCAGGGAATGGATGCCACAGGGCTGTTCCTCCTGGCCCAGCTCTCAGATGAGAGGGGTAGAAGGGCAGAACAGGACATCCAGGAGCTGCCCAGAGTCTCCATCCCCGTGCTTCTGATAGACCTGGAGACACAGCCATGCCTCAGGCTGCAGGGCCAGCCCAAGGGAAGTCCAAAAGCCACCACTGTAACATAGCATAGGAAGCAAACAAGGAAGATTAGCAGCTCTGTGAATTTCCTAGAGCCTCGTGACTGCAGAGGAATTATTTCACAAAACTGTAAGATCTGAGGAAGCCTCCAGGCACCAGAAGGAAGCCAAATAAAGCTCTGTGCTCCCTGTTGGCTGACTAAGGATATTGCTCCCTGTCCCCAGATGTGGCCACTCTCCACTACCTCAGAGAGAGACAGGGCCACCACCAAACACAGGAGCCAAATTAGGCACCAAGGGAGAAGAGGATTCCTCCCTGGACCCTGCAGAGGGGAGCAGACACCCTGAAGCGAGGGATTAACATAAACCAAAGACAGCACAAACAAAGATCAATCCAGTCTCGCTTCAACACATCAGATACACAAGGACTCTCCCCTCTGGAAAGCCTCTGAGTGAATAATCCTTCCCATGAATATTGAGAGCTATCTTGAAACAGTGGCTGTCCCTTCCCACCCACCAGCCCTTTTGAGGGCCACTCCGGAAGGATCTCTTTCAAGCCTCAGAAATTGCTTCTAAAACCCCATCTAAATTTATTTATGACCAGCTTACCACACAGGGATACATCTCTCCCAACCAGAGTCCTCACAAAAGCCAGCACATTAACAACTGGATGTTTTAAACCCTACCAGAGGTAACACTTAATCCCACTTACTATAGAAAGTCTGGGCTGGAGCTGAAGGATTTTCCCTGTCCTGAGGGGGGAACCTTTAATAGGATCCCCAGCCCTTACCTTCCTCTTGGGAGGAGCAGAGAGAGGGACTGACAACACCTCAAAGCCTACTCCAATGCCCAAAAAAGATGTATTTATAGACTTCGTGGCTGAAAAACAGCATCAATTTTTATTTCACCTCTGCAAAGACTATTCTGGGTTTGTCTGCCATGGAGACCAAGCCAGTGGAACCTGTCCCTTCCCCTGTGCAGAGGTGGATACTAAGCAAGGAGGAACAAACCCATCCAGCCACCTGGAGTGGGAGGAGGTCCCTGCTGCCTGCAAGAAGACATGACTGTCTTTCCAGCCTGTGCTGCAGCAGCCGAGGACGTTCTTCAAACTCCTCCCTGCTCTCTAAGCAATTCCTACCTCCCATTTCACCCCAGAAAGGACCATTAAACTTCTGAGGCCTTTTGGAAGCCTAAATAAAGAGTCAGACACTACCAAGAGATTTGCAGCGGCGGAGGGAAACACTATTCATCTCCAGGAATAGATGCTGAGGGGATGGAAAACCAATGTCAAGCCTCTGGGACCTTCTGGATATACATGGAGTGCCAGTGTGGCCGGGGACCTGGCCTTCAGAAGAACACTGCAGCACACCTGGACCATCTTTCATAAGGACACAGGAATTCAGAGGGTCCTTCCACCCCAGTAAAAGTTTGGGATTTAGATGCTCAGTGATAGGGTTGAAACAATTTCCTTGATCTTTTATTACCCTGGTAAATAATTTATCGGGACAGGCATTTTAAAAAAATCCCATAAAAGACCCATAAAACATATTTATCACACAAAAAAGAAAGCCTGCTCCTTGGCTGCAACCAACAAGCTGAAAACTTGTTTGTATACTTCGCTGCACATAAACTAACCAATGCCTTGTGACAGCTTTAAGCTTTTTAACAGCTCTCTCCCTGTTGCTTTTTATTTCCATTTTTCTCTCTCTAACTTCAGAAGGTAAAAAAAGAACCCACCACAACAGCAGAGGCTTCTGCATTTGGACAGATATTGACAATCAGGAACTGCACCCCCCTCTCCCCTGTTTTCCTGACGCCTGGGAACTTTAAAAAATGATGCTTCTTTTGGCTGCAAAACAACAACTCAGAGCTGTAGTTATTTGTAGCACGTTGGGACATGGGGGTTGGCAGCTGTACAGGCATCAAGTCACCTCTTTGTGCCTCCGTTTCCCCCCTGAGATCAGGAGCACCCACATCGTGCTTCTGTCATCTTTGACTGGCAGAGGGCAGGGTCCTTTTTCTTGGTCCAAGCCTTCAATAACTGGAGAATCCAAAGAAAGGAATGCTTTCCCACCCAAAACATGCACAAGCCACAGGCACCAAAGCTTTTTGGCACTCCCTTGGACACCAGAGGTTCCAGTCTGATGAAGCCTGGCCAGCAGGATGAGAGCTCAGCCTGCTGCCAAAGTACAAAACCAGAACCCAAACCACATTTAGTGCTGCAGGCAGGATTCCTGGTGCCAGGCAGTCACACAGATCCAAAGGCAGCCCTTCCACATCCCCTGCACTGTGCCCACAAACCCAGACCTCATCAGGGACAGCTTTGCCCAGAGAAATGCCAACAAACACAGGTGACCTGGCACGGGCCAACTGACCTGGGGATGGGCTGAGGTGGGCTTCCCCTCTTCCCAGGAGCAAGGGGAGGTGTGGGAGCAGCAGCGAGGCTGGATCAGGCTGGATCAAGCCTGGAGATCCCCTGCACACTCTTCCAAGCACTAGGAGGAGGGAGAGCACAGCCCTCCCACGCTGGGTCAGCAGAGCTGGCCATCAGGGCTGCCAAGGCACACAGACACCCAGGCGTGCACAGAGCCTGCTCCAGATGGCATCTGGCAGAGGGAGCCAGGAGCAGTCTGGGTCACAGTGCTCCCAGGCACCTCCATAAACTCTCATCCCAGTCCTGGTTCCAACACTGCAGTGATGTAATCCCATTAAATGCCTTTCCAGGACTCAGTCAATGCTCCAGCTGTGCTCCCCCTCTCCCTCAGCTTCCCCTCTGCCTTCCCAAAGCCCACACCAGGCACTTGAGCTACAGCTGCTTTCGTACCTGTGTGAGCCAAAACGCTCCTGTCCACAGTGGCTGGTTCTCCAAACGGCTGCTCTCTGCCTCCTTCACATTCTCCTCAGGGAGATCAGAAGTTCAGAGCAAATTTGAGCCACCAGAGTGGCCATGTGATGAAGAACAAGCTATGAGAGAAAGGTCAGTGGTCAAAGTAAGCTGGGGCTGGGCTCTCTGCATGCTGGGCATCACTTCTGTCCAGTTCCAGTGTAAACCAGTCTCCCAAGCAGGTTAAAGCCCAGCAGAGCATCAGGTCTTCTGTGCTCGTGGAGGCTGGGAAGGACAGTGTGGATGCAGGGGACAGAGAGAGTCTTTTCTATCAGATCCTGAGTGCGGTCACTTCTCTCCCACACTTCACCCCCTTCCTGACATCTCCCCCCTCCCCAGTCCTGTAGCCACCTTCCCTTAATGCCAGCAAGGCCATTGGTCTGGACAACCCCTGTGCCCACCCTCCCACACCGCTCAGCACAGGTTCCAGCAGGACACACCATCCTGGGTGGAGGCCAGCAAGGATCTATCGCCCACAGCAGCACAGCATGGCCACCAGGCTTCCCTCCTTCTCCTCATGGGAGCTTCACCATTACCATCAGTGGAAGGGAGCAAAATGGACACCGTGAGCTGCAGTGCAGATCAGACCTCTCCAAGTCTTCCTGGGATGCAGATACAGCTGTGGACCTGAAAGGGTCCTTCTGGCCAGGGAATAGCCCATGGAACAGCCTCTTCTGGGACTGCAGGCTCAACCCTGGGGCCTTTCCCACCTTCACCAAGTCCCACAGCTCCTTTGGCTGCTGCTTCTGAACTGATGAGCACATTAGCAGTAAAGACCATTTGCAGATTTAAAAGTCAAACCCTGCCACAGGAAATTAAAAGATAATGCAAGGAATTATTTAAAAAAATTAATCTTTATTACTCTCCACTCCCAAGCTGCTAATAAAAAAAATGTGTTCCTCGTGCAGTCTCTATAAAAACAGGTTATAAAACAGAGGAAGAGAGGAAGGCAGATGCTTTAAAAAGGCATCTTTCATCCCTCTGCCCTGTGTGCCGTAACCATCCATCTGCACCTGTGTGTCAGCTCACAGCAGTTCCCAACCCAACCAGCCCTGGGCAAAAACCCTGCAAGGTAATTATTCCCCATTTCCATCTGGTCCCCCTTGTCCTCCTTGTTTTACATCTCCAGGAGATCAGCAATCCCAGGTCCAGAGAGCAGCCTAGAAGGTGGTTTAATGGCACACCCTCCTCGCTCCAGGTATCTCCGAGCCCTGTATAAACCAGGATGAATTACAGCTCATTACGGAAAGGGCAGGCACTTGGGAAGTAAACAACATAGCTATTACAGATGCCAGCAATAGCTCCACAACACTGGAGCAGGGCTGATACATGCAGGAAACCATGCCTGAGACAGAGGTCAAGGATGCTCTGCAGCTCTCAGAAGCCAGTGAAAAGGCTGAGAGGGAGATGGCAATTGCAAGAGTTTCTTCAGAAGATGCTCCTCTCTAGGGCTGTGCTCAAGAAAGAAGCTCAGTCCTTGGTTTTCTAGCTAGTGCTTGAGCCCATGAAGCCAGAAACAGGGCTGGAAAACCACTTTTGTGTCATGACATTCAGCCAGGTTTTGGTAGGTCTGAGAGCCACCACAGCTGAGCAAGAGCACATGAGACAGATGAAGTAGCAAGAGGCACCGAACCCACCAGCTGTGTCCACGCTCCAGCAGAAGGAACAGCCACAAGCACAAACCCACATCCCATCACCCTCTGGCCAGCCTAGAAGTGCCTGGCCTTGGCCTGCCCAGGCGGAGCCCCATCACCAGTGCTCCTGCCAAACTGGTGCCCCTGGGTCTGGCGGAAACACCTGGCCAGGCCAGGAAGGAGCAGAGAGGACTTCACAGAAGGAGAAACGAGGGACCAGAAACTGCTGCATCGCACCACCAGCCCAGCGTGAATGATGATCCCTTTAGGTGCTCCACGCCCAGAGCTGGGGAGAAGGAGCCAGTCCCAGTACCAGCAATCCCCAGAACATGCCCTGATGGCCTCAGGGAAGCTGCGAAGTCCAACCTCTTTGACCCTGGATGAGCAGTACAGGCACTAAAACCACACTCACCCCTCCCCCTGGCAGCACACAGCAGGTTTACCGGGACAGGCAGCTCCACACCTTCTCCTCATCGGGGATTAAAGGAGTATTTGGCCTTTCCTGACTCCAGGAGGGGGAGACACATCTGGAAATGAAGCACCGTTGAGGAACAGGTGCTAGGGGTGGAGGAAGGAGAAAGGCAGAAACACAAGCAGGCTCGAACACGAGGAGGAAGAACCCTCCTGTGAGGGAAATGTGCCGGCAGCGCTGTTGTCCGGGACACCTGCGGTCCCCAGCGGGGACAGGAGCAGAGGGGGACCTGCCATACAGAGAGGCAGGAGGTGGCTTTTGAGGGGAGGTTGACTATGATCGATGGTGCTGTGCTGTGTTCTCACTGATGTAGAAAATTAGAGAGAGAGATGGCTTCAGATCCGGGCCCATCCGAGACACTTGTGTCCATCTCCTGAACACAGCTCCACTCCTGGGAGCTCTGCCTCTGGCTTGTAAGCTCATTATTCAAAGTGCTGAACTGGGAAAAGCAATGCTATTTTATTCTTACTTTCCCCCCCCCCCAACTACTTTGATTGTATTATTCTCGAGAACACATAATGTGCTGATTTCCTTGCTCAGCTACTTGAGGGAAAGTTTGTTTGAGCCTCCTTGACTAGGAAAAAGTAGCCCTTCACTTTTTTGCTTCTCTCTTCAAACAAGGCAGGGAAGAGTCTCTAGAAAAGGTAGGAGCTGTTTTTTTTCAGATGGAAATAGCTTCTTAAACAACAGTGAGTCATGCTCCACACCGGGATGGATCTGATAGCTGGTAACCACAGTGAGCAGTGCTGTTCTGCTAATGGAGCCTTGTGCTATTGTCCTCCTGGCAGGATAGTCCCTTCTTGCCTTACTCCCCCTTTGCCATTTAACCAGTTCCTGGTTTATTGTGGCTGCTTTTGTCCCTCCACTGCATCTCTGCTAGATGACAGAAGAGTTTTAAAACGGTCTTAAAGCGGTTTTAAAAAAAATCCTTGTATGCTTCCCTATGAAATGATGAAGCCAGTGGTCTAGATCACCACAGACAGGCTGCTGGGTCTTCAGGATCACCAAGATCAGGACACTACTGGGCCCTTGCCTTCAAACATCGTTGTCCTCAGTAGCAGGCAACCAGTTTCTTCCCAGCCAGGCACAGCTTGCACCCCTTTAGTCCCAAGGTTTCCAAGCTGGTCTAGGAATGGTAGAGAAACCTCTCTGACTGTTGCCCAAAGAATTCCAAACAGGCCCTACAGTCCTACTGTAGCCAATCACCTTCTACACACACCCCAGAAGCTCCCAGGCACCTCACCAGTCCAGGGAGCAGCACAGGCTCTTCCACTTGTCTAGAGGAGACTGATGAAGAGGCTGGATGTAGGAATGCTCACCTCTGGAAAGGGCAGGGAAATAGTTCATTTTCCTTCACAATTCCAAACTCAGCCCCAGTTTCTCCTGACATGTCTCCAGCTTGGGGCATCTGGGTTTGCTCCCATGGCAAAAGGACAGGTTTCTTTTTTAGCTCTTGGGTATCTCAAGGGTGGATTCAAAATTTCCCTGCTTCGAAGCCTGCCACCAAACATGGATGTCCAGGCTCCTGAACTGGGAAGCTCCTCCCAAAAAGACAGCAGCTAAACCCAACCCTGCTCGGCTCCTTTGTTGAAAGGACATTGGTGCCACCAGCTGCAGCCCTGCCAGCGCTCTGAGCATCCCTTGGGTCACAACACACGAAGGCTGGCAACAAGCAGCTAAGACCAGACTCAAGCCAAAGCCTGAAGCACTCAGGAAATCCCTAGAGGAAGGACAACTTGGAACAAAGCATCCTCTCCCTTCCTCCCACGTCCACCAGAGACTGAACCTAGCTCGTGTTACCAATTTGCCCAGTGGTGGTTAATCATCTGCCCTCTGAAAATCCCTTCTGGGGGTGCAGAACAAATCCGCACACATCTCCCCTTCTCCATCTGCTAATGGCTTCCCTCCACCCAGGCTGAGCCTCCCCCAGCCTGAGCTAATGGTAGGAAATTAGCATTAGAATGATAGTTTGCTATTAGCAGTGCCTCAGCTCCCCTCTACGCTCCGGGAACAGCAAATGACAGGCTCCGATTTCCCCGCTGCGATGCAGGGGAGAGAGAACAACGGCAGCCAGAAGCGCTGAAGATACTCAAGGAAAGTTTTAGGCTCATCTTTCCCAGCCCAGCAGCCCTTTCCCTTCGCCATCCCCGTCGTGCTCATCCACCGCACAGGCAATCCTACAAACAGATGGCACCTGGGCAGGAAAGCAGACAAATTGGCTCCCACCTGCAGGAGCACTAAGAGCTTTCAAAGCAGACGAGCACTCGCTCGCCAAGAGCCCCGCGGTGTGGAGATGCCGGAGGAAGCTGCCGTCGCTCGCCTCCCTCCCTCCTCGCTGCTCCACGGCTCCGGCTCCATCCTCGCCCGGTTGCAGGCAGGCAGCTGGCTCCTCCCGGGAGCTGGTGGCAGGAGGGGACGGTCGCTGTGTCCCGAATCAGGCGCCTGGAAGAGGCAATTCAAGCTGAGCATCAACGGAGCGATGCTTTTGTGTCAGCACAACGCTCTGGTTTGGAGGGCTCACAGATAGCCTGGAGCGAGAGGGTTTTCTTGGGTCCCCACTGAACATCCATCTGCTTGTCAAAAAAACCAGCTCAGCTCAAGCTGCCTGCTCTCTCCTCCTGCCAAAGAGGGGGTCTGCCCACCCAGAAAGTTCCCCTCCTTGACCAGATAGCTGTGGCAAGAGCATGGAGACACTCATTTCATTTTCTGCCTGCCTGCTCCTCTGAGCCCACCTGGCTGAAAGCTTCTCTGCACATCAAGGCCAGGGAAGCAGCTCGTGTACCTCACTGCAGAAAGCCAACAGGCAGGAAAAGAGCTCAGCAAATTCATGGCTGTCAGGGCAGGCTGTCATCTCTCTTTGGGTACCTGAGCGACCCTGCAGAGTTCCACAACTCAGAGACGGTGAATTCCTCCTTGCAGAGCCCCAGAGCTCTGGTCACCTGCAGCAGGGGAAGGCTGAGACGTGCAGGAGCACTGGGGTGCTTTCAGTGCATCTTACATGGAGTCACGCACAACACCTCTGAAAAACTCCAATCAAAATGACATTTTAAGCCCCCTGGGTAAGGTCAAACTGGTGACCAGTGACAAGACTCAAGGGAACAGCATGAAGCTCTGTCAGGGCAGGTTTAGGCTGGATATTAGGAAAAGGTTCTTCACTCAGAGGGTGGTGGTGCACTGAACAGGTCCCCAGAGTAGAGGGCACGGCTCCAAGCCCGACAGAGTTCAAAAAGTATTCAGACAACACTCTCAGGGACAGGGTGGAATTGCTGGGCTGTCCTGTGCAGGTCTAAGAGTTGGACTTAATGATCCTCGTGGGTCCCTTCCAACTCAGGATATCCAATGATTATATGAAACCATCCCCTCCCCTCTACCTGGATCAGCAAGAAAAGGCAAGTGCCCTCCAGCCCCAGCCTGCCAATTGCCTTGTAATAGAGGCCTAGGAGGTGGGATGCAAAAGGGAGAGGAAAAAGGATGGTAGTGAAAAGCAGGATAAAACAGTTTCCCCCTTCTCCAGCACTGCCATCAGCAGCTGAGACGTGGGAGCGAGGAGAGGGCTCGTCTGATGATGGATGGCAGAGAACTGATCCTTGGTAAAGGCAGAACGGGAGCAGAAGGAAGCACTGCTCCCAAAGGCGATTCTCACACCTCCTCGGGATAAGAAAAACAACCATCAGAGGCAGCAGGAGCTCTTCTCCCTGCACGTTTGGAATTCATCTCCAGCCTGTCAGGGGGGCCACGGTCCAACCGCGCGTTTGTATATTCACTGAGCCGTACCCCCAACTCGGCACACTCCTGACAGATGCAGATGGGAAAGCCATTTTTCATAAGGTGAGGAGAAAAGGGGAAAAAAAAATAAAAATAACAAAGAGAGGCTTGGGCACCAGCTGGAAAAGACACAACAGGTTCAGGGCTAAGAGAGAGCCAGGGTCAGATTAAACTCTTGGATCTTTAAGGGCACTAAGAGGCTGGTCCCCTGCCTATTTTCTAGTGTGGCCTGGCAGCAGCAGCAACAACCTTCATCCTCTCCTCCATAACTAGCTAGAAAATGGAAGCTGGACCCAGAACAACACTACGCTTTGCTGAACCAGCCCTTGGGGACAGAAGCTGGCAGAGGGGCTGCCGGAGAGGGTGGGCACAGGCACACTCCTGCAAGATCAGCTGCTGTTCAGAGGAGGTGAGAGACAGCCTGTGGGGGACATTACCCTTTAACATGTGTAAGTCTGCCCCTCAGACTCTGACCTAGCTCAGACCTGGCCCCTGAAGAGCACAAATGGTCTCTGAAGGGACATCCCTGGCAAAGCTGACGATGATATAAGTGTGCCAGCATGGCAGAGGAGCACTCTGAGCAGTGCTGCCACGATGGCAAACACGGCAGCTTCCAATGGCCCCAATTTCTCTCAGACAGTAACAAGGGGTTTCCCTTTGTCCTGGGTCACCACGCAGCCAAGAGGCATCGGTGACACAGAGCTGCTTACCAAGACAGCAGGAAAAGTGAAGCTCAGCACAGAATGTGTTGTCCCCTGAGCAGCATGTGTACATGGCCCACTCGGCACAGGGAGCCAGAGGTCCTTGACATAAGCGAAGGGGAAGGGAAAGGAAGAATTACCCTCACGGAGGGAAAGATTTCACCTCTGCCAGTGACATTCTGCTGTTGTCACTGCCAGGCATAACATCACCCTCTTGATGTGAAATCTAAGTTGACAGTGATACAGGAAAGGAGCTGAGAGGGCAGCAAACTCTGTCCAGCCCTCTTTGTAACCCCAAATCTCCCCTGGCTCCCAGCCTCTGCACGGAGCAGAGCCACTACCTCATTACCAGGTTACTAAGACAGTAGATCTTCCTTTTCCAGAGCCATAGAATAATATTTTCTTGCAGTTATCCATCATTCTTGGCAACTCCAGGGAGGATTTCATTTTGGTCTCTGTTATATCCTCATTGTTTCTGAAATGAGAAACATAAGGGCCGACACCTCCTTTGCAAAACAACACATGCAGCTGTAAGTCACCAAAGCTTGAGGAGCTTCTGGTGCCAAAGTCCATGTGTCTTCAAACTGACTGGAGGTGTATGGAGCCCGTGGCATTTCTAGATGATATTCCTTCTCTCTGTCCCAAGGAAAGGCAAGCACAGGGCTGGGCAGCAAGGCTTGGAGAAGGTTACTGCCGAGACCTGGCAGAAATGTCATCCAGCAACACATTTCAAGAAAGATTCATTCCCAAGCAGCCTGGCTCCATAATAAAAGTGTCAGAGCAGCTGACTTGCCTCCCCCCAATCTCATTGCCTCCAGATTTATCCTGTCTCAGGTCTCTCTCCCTCCATAAGCCAGCACGTGCCTTTCCTTTCAATAGGCTGGCACTGAAACTCAGCCAGCTGAGATTGTAGGAGAAAAGGGAATACAAGCCAGGTGAAGGCATTGTGGGGGGAAAAATGCTCAGGAGCTGGGTTTTCCTCTCATTTTGGCTGCACTCAGTTCTGAAAGGGAGAAGGGTGATATGAGAAGTACCTTAATGTGAGAATGCTCCAAAACCAGAAGCCACATTTGATTTGGTGTTCCAACCCAATTCCCTGGCTGCCAGGCTGTGCCACCTCCCTCTCAGGAAGCTTAAATCCCATTCCTGATAAAACCCATCCCAGAAGGCGTGAATATCTCTGAGCCTTCACCCTCCCAGCCAGGGAGCCCCTTCTCAGAGGGCTGTGCACACGGTGGGCATGCAGGAAGAGATGAGGCTCCCTGGGAGTCTCTCAGAAAACTGAGAACCTGCTTACCTTCAACACAGAGATGTGCTGTTAATGCAGCACCACAGGCAGCCCCCGAGAGAGAACGGTCTGCAGGGAGTTAAAAACAAAAAAAAAAAAAAAAAAAAGAGAAAGAGATATTAATGGTCCTTTGCAAACAGCTAAAAATACCCAGAACAGCCAGAGTTTCTGTTGGATTTTTTTTTGTTTGTTTCTTTTCTCCCCCCACCTCCCGCCCAAAGGAATGTGCCACACAAATTAAAACGATTTCCCTCCAACCTGCAAGACAGGACCAGGCAAGGCATCCTTCAGCTGTGAGTGAAAGAGATGGAGCCTGCCTTTGTCAGGAGCACGCCAGCCCCAGGGAGGTGAGGTGGTGGGGGACGGCAGATGTGGCTGCAGGGATCCTGCTGGCTAATTCCCAGTAACCAGGACAGACAGGTCTGTGCCAGGCATCCAGCTGGGGTCCAGGGGGTGTTTCTTCAACACAAAGGAGACATCAGTAGCAAAAGTGAACCCTGGGTACCTCAACTGCTCTGGGGGGATGCAAAATAAGAGCAAATGCCTGCAACAGCAGGCTGTGGAACAGCTTTCCATGGAGCAGAGAAAGCCTCCACTACCACTAAGGCAGTCCTGTTAAAATTGCAAAACGTGTTGCAGGAGGCAGAGACCATGATATCTCCTGGATCTATGGACCTTATCCCCCAAGGACATCATTTTCTGGCCCATGCCAGGGTATCCATTCTGGTATGTGGCCCAGCACGCATTTCTCCCTTTTAACTGAGAGCCACTTTGCTTCCAGCAGTGAGCGCTCACAGGCAGGGAAAAAACCCCCAAACAAACCCACCCCCACCAGGCTCTAAAAGCACTGCTTTGCTGTGTCACAGCTGTTCCTCACATCTGGATACAGACAGCACTTAAAGACTTGCAGCTGGCACCAGCTCCTCCATTAGCATCTCCCTGTCCTGTTAACGCCAGGCAGGCGAGAGGTCTGGCAGCTGAGGTGAAGGGCCACTCCATCTCCGTCAGCTTCTCCTCCACTAATGAAAATGTTTCTCCAGCGTGTCCTCGGGAAGGTTTCCTTCAGCTCTGGCCCCTCTGTGATTGAAGGCTAATCTCTGTTACTCTTGGCTGAATGGCAGCCCACGAGGAAGGTGATGTATTGTATTTCCCTTCAACTCGACACTTAGTGGTGCTGGGCAAAAAGAAGAAAAAGCACCACATGTTTTGAAATTGTAAGTGAACTCCTCCCAAAATGCTGAGAGAGGTCAGGGCAGAAACAGGGGCCTCACAGACTGGGACTAGAGTGCACCCCTATAAATCCAACCCCATTTTGAAGGGCCACTTGTTGTGCCAGCATCCTCCCTCCCAGAGCCAGTCCAGCTGATGGCAGTGGCCACAGGTGGCAACATGTCCTGCCTCCACCCTATGGGACAAGACTGGCCTCCAGTGAGCTCCCCAGCATCAGTCTGGCCAGCACAGGGGCCTGGGAGAGAGGCCAAGGTCTGGAGTGCAAATGGTTTGGGAGGAGAGTGTGAGGGCTCAGCACTCACAGGTTCCTCTGGCTGGCTCTAAACCAGTCACTGAAGCCTCAAAATGTAAAGTTTTCCAATCTGTGGTGTTAGCTTCCTTTTAAAATGCTTGGAGACCTCCTGATAAAAAAATGGAGAGAAAAAATTAGGGTTACAATCCTCTTGCTGGTGTGCTGCTCACTCTCAAGGAGATACCCACCTCCAAGACACACTTTCTCCTCTGCTCCACAGCTCTGCAGACACACTCCAGACCATCCCCACCAACTGCTGCTTCCCTGCTGTTGCTGCCTTCACTGGAACAACCCAATTACACATCACGGCCCTCTTCATCTGCAAAGCTTTGCAGCTCTTCTTCTCTTTTTTTTTGCCCCTACAAAACACCACCAGCATTTGTTGAGGACACACAGACACAACACAGACTCTCCTGTTTGCTTTCTCTTCTTACCGTGGACCACACAAAATGCATCCTCCAACAGCCAAACCTGGAGGAGGATAAGAAGGAGAAATTAAGAAAACAAACAGGAGGAAAAAAGGAAAAAACTTTCAATTACTGGCAATTAGTTCTACTTGATGCTCACCCACTGTGCCCCGTGCAGACACAAATCACTCTGGCAGGTGGGCATGCAGGGTGGCACAGCACGTACCTGCACATGCAGCACACAAGGTGAGCACACAAGATGTCTGGTGAAGGTATTCCAACCTATTTGTTCACCCCCTTGGGCACAAACGGCTCCAGCCTTTTTGAGGGTCTCCTATAGCCCAGCTAAAATCCGGGATGGTGCTTTGCTCTGCTCCCATGAGCTGTAGCCCAAGCCCTGGGGCAGAGCCAAAGGCATTTGCCTGGAGCAGAAGTCCAGATTACCGGAGGGATGTCCATCCTCATTTCCACACCCACCTGCCCAGGTTTTCAGGCTGGTTTCTCTTCCCAGGAGGGATGCCAGCTACAGAGAGCCCCACGGGCTGCCTGCTGACGCAGCTGCAGACGGTGCAGCTCCGACAGAGACGCCTTCCCCTCCACGGGAGGACACGCTCTGCTCCCAGCCAGGGGGAAGGCGGAGGCACCCAGCACGCTGCCGCAGTGGAGGAGGCACTCAGCCAGCCACTAATGCTTCCTACTGTCTCGGAGCAAAGGGATGAATTAGCTTTTATTAGCTCTTACCAAGAGCACATCACTCCTGCCCTTTCCTCCTCGCACAAGGCTCACGCACGGGCTCAGCTGTGCCGCAAGTGAAGCAGAACCAACTCACCTCCGTGCCGGCGGCCCCAAACTCCTCCTGGGTCTTGTATAAATCTTATAAATCTTACATCTCAGACAAGCTGGGAGTTAGGATCGAGCAATGCTCCTAAGGGTGCTGCAGGTGCTGCCCAGAAGTACTTTAAAAAAACACGGATGCTTGGCTTTGACATCCAGATCTCTCAGGTGGCACCAAGCACGGCACAAAGGAGGGCATGGGCTCCACACCAGCAAAGCCACAGCACTGTCCTCACTGCTGACACCCAAATTCAGGGCTGCTGTTTGGGGGGGTGGTCTGTGGTTTTCTGTGCCCCTGACTCCCAGCACCCAGCCAGCAGCACGGCTGAGGGATGGTGCTGCTCCAGAGAACTCTCTCCAGAGGCGCTCTGGGGCTTGTTAGCGGGGTGATAAAGGGGATGAATGGCCTCAGAGAAACGCTCTGTCTCCTGCTGTGGCATTCATTATCCTTTAGCCAGGCAATTCTTCACACCAGCCACGAGCTCTGGACTGGCTCGTTTATCCTCCTCGGGGGCTGTTTCCCACAAGAGGCCACGCTCTGCACTCGCTGGTCACCCCAGGCAGCTCGAATGCGCCTGAGGAACCCACAGCATGGCAGTGGAGGCTGAGCACTCCTCCTCCTGGGTAGTCTCTGAGCTCATCACTTTCCTCCCACACAACCAGCTTGCTTTCCCAAACACACAATTCCGTGATCTGAGCCACAGCTGCCCCCCACCCCAGATCTGCAGGAAACAGAGCTGGTCGCATTTTCAGCCTAGTTTCCTAAGAAGTGCAAAGCATATGCAATCCTGCTGCATCAGTCTGTCCTCTGCCCACTCCCCAGCAACTTCTGACACTGCAAACAGATTTCAACCTGATGTGACAGAGAAACAGAGGTCTTGGAGACAGTCAGAGTCTATAAATTTCATGGGAATCGACTATCAGAGGAGAGACATCATTAGCACCTTCCAAACTGTAGTGTATCATCCCTTATTAGACATCAGACAATCTGCGTGGGAGAGAGAGAGAGAGGCTATAAATATCCCGGGAAGGGGAGATGCTCCATTCAGCACAAACAGCTTACTAGACACCAGAGACTCCAAACCCAAACTGTACATCCACAGGAGATGAGATTTCATGGATCCCACTGCACACAGTACTAGCTGGAGAAGGTTTCAAGCCTTTTTAGCTCATAGGAGAGCCAGCCAGCTAATATGCCATGTTAGCCCTTGGAAAGCCCTTGAAAATGGAATATGTGCCCTTCCCTTGCCCTTCCTCTAGTGGCCAAGCCAAGGTCCTGCCACATTTCCAACTTTAATTGCCGTCCCACACTTACGGTTGAGTTCAGCCGCTGCCTAAAATGGAAGGGACACGCCCAGCTCCAAGGAGAAGCACTGATGGGCAGACCAGCTCCCTTTTCCCCACAACCCTCCCATTGCCTCTCTGCCACACTGACAGAGATTTCACCTTCCAGCAAGATGTTTCATCCACAGGCTGCTGCCAGCAAACACCAGGAAGGCAGCCCAGAGCCCGAGCAGCCGCCCGCTGAGCTCTGAGCAGGATCACTTACACATCAAGCTACCCATTAGCAGGTTGACTGATTAGTGGCACTTGCTGTGAGTGAGAGGGAGCCTGTTCCTCCACACACAAGTCCTTGCTGTCCACCAGACCCACACACCAGCTCCCATATGGATCTGCAAGCTGGAGCCAGTGGCATGGCTATCCTTTCTCAGCAGGACAGAGGCAGCCACAGAGACCCTTCCTCTTCCTCTTAAAGGCTGAAGGGGACACAACAGCCTCTTGGTTCTCCTTTGAAGTCAATTAAAGTTCACATATCTCACAGTGTGATACAACCTTTGGAGAACAACACCAAGAAGCCACTGACTAGGCTTGCTGGCTGGCCTTCCTTGCTCAGCCCCTTCCAGTGACCTAATTAGGAGACCCTCGTTAGGCTGTTCCAGGGTGGAATCCAGAGTTGCTTTTGCCAGGAACTCCTGTCACTCTTCACTGCTCTCTGATATGGGGAAGTTTAAGGGCAAAGCATAGGGTACCTGGCAAGGCAGCAAAGGTGACCAGAGCTTGCTGAGGCTGAGCTCAGCATTTCAGGGTTGTCTGACCCTGCTGCAGGAAAGCCAAACCCTATATGCAATATGCAGACAGAGCAGGGATCTGTGCTCATTTAGGATCTGCACTGACCCAGTCGTTATCTGTTCACAATGTCATTTCCAGCCTCAGGCCTTCCAGAGCCCTGGAAGTAACTGAGAAGTGAGAAAGAGCCTTTTTCCCTCCAGCTCACACGTGGTGACACTGGCCCGGCTGGCCAGACTCATTTTGGGACTTGACTGATTCACCCAGCAAAGGTCAAGTCCCAGGAGGTGCCATCAGCCTGGTGGATCACGTATCGCTTGTACCTGTGGGGCCTCAGCTCCACAAAAGGACAATTCAAACATGCACTACAGCACATCCCTTATTCCAAAAAAAAAAGAAAAAAAAAGGATTTACACCCCAGGGGTGCTTGACTCCCTGCTCTGCCCAACAAAAGGAGTGATGGGAACTGAATCCAAGCTTATGTTCACTAAAATAGAAGGGAAAAAAAAAAAGAAAGAAAATCCAGAAACCCAGTCACTCCATCCTAATTGTTCTGATCCAGCCTTTCACAGTGTTGTATTGAGCTAAAGGGCCGCACCTGAAAGTGTGCCAAGAGCGGCATGAAATGTTAATGTTGCAATTAAAACAATATGAATATTGCAGCACCGCTCTGCTGCTCCCCATCCACTGAACAATTCTCATTCAATGGAAGTCAAGTTACATTTCAGGAAATAATGAGGTCTACTAATTAAGTCTGGCCTAGGAAGACAGCAGTCTTAAAAGGAAGAAAAAATATTCAGATCTCCCCAAAATGTGTACATTTGCTGCTTATTACCTGCAAAGGGGAGTCATTAACGCTGCTCAATGCCAGGATCACAGGTCAGTGCCATTGTCTTATTGCACACATCTAGAGGAAATTCTCTATTTAATGCTAAAACTCATAAGTCATGACCTGCCTTGCCCCCAAGAGCTGAGCTGGGAATGCCAGGCTGACACGTCCCATACTCTGAATGCAGGAAGCAGGTACCTGACAGTGAATGCCAATCCCAGGCTGGGCTGGGGAGAGGCAGGCTGGGGCTCTGAGGGGCTGAAGGCAGCAGATCACATTCAGCTGACACAGGACTGATCCCAGACTGTACACAGGGAAGGGATTTTTCCTCCCCAGCCATCCAGACAACTGAGTGACAGTGACACTGGCTTGAGCTGGTGGAAGCCACAGGGAAAGTGACCACTGGGTCAATCCTGGAAGGATAAAGACTAGTCAGGATCATCACTGATGTTTTAAAGTTTTAACTTTAAAAAGAGGCAACAGAGAAAGCCCCCCTTCCTGCCCCCTGCATCCATCAGCTGCCGTCCGAGACACAAGCCCACGTTGCATTAACATGAGGGCACAGAACAGCCTGGAAATCAGAAACATCAGGTCCAGGGTCCCAAAGGAAATTGATATCAACACACTGCACCCATAGCTTCCCTGTCTTCTGGTCTTCCATCACCTTCCCAAATCTCTTTACCCATGACAGTGGTTGGGGCTGCCTCTGTGTCTCCAGTGTTCTCCCCAGCCCAGATAACTGCAGGGGCAGGGAGGGTCCCTCAGCAGGAGTATTTCATGGGAAGAGTAGAAGGTTGGGAACAGGCCCACCATGTCATCCTGCTGATTTGGCTGCCTTTTCTATTTCTTAGAGTTTCAGGAACACACAAGAACTACTCATCCTCCAGGCCTGAGCTCTGCCATCAGACCCAATCTTACTCACCAGCATGAAGTTGTCTAGGGGACACAGAGCAGCTTCCTGTGTGAAGAGGAGGCTATATCAATTCAAACCTCTCCAAACCCTTCCCTAACTTACTTCCCAAAAATCCAGCAGAAAATTCATCCAATGGAGGGGTGAGGGAGGGTACGGGAGTCCTGGTTCATTCCCTGTCCACTGCTGACACTCCGAACTTCAGCCTGTTTTTAATACAGACAACCCTCCTGGTAAGATCCAGACAGAGACTGAGCCACACTGACCAAACCCGGCAACGCAAAGAGCCCAATCAGGGGGAGCTCAAACCACCAGGAAAGAAACACTGCATTTGAAAGAGGAGAAAAATCCAGAGGAAAAGATCAGAAGGGACCTTCCAGGTCCTGGATTGCCCTAAGGGACTTAGATATCACTTCTATATCCATCTGTTAGAAATAAACCTATCTGGTCACCAAGGCACACCCAGGGGATGCCCCTGCCCTGTCCCCACCACCAGCAGCTCACTGTGGGTGGGTAGGTGGTCTCCTCCCTCCAGCCCACTTCTCACTCCGTTGCCAGATGAACCAGCACTTGCAGCCACCAAGTGTCTGTTCTGCAATAAAGAGCAATAAACATGCCAGAGTAATTAATGTCTTAACAACTTATTACAATCCTCAGATAATTAATCACAAAAGCTAAACATGCTGTCTCACCCTCCTAATGTGTTAATGCTCTAATTATTATGCCTCAATTAAGGGAAAGTCAGCGCTCCTTGCTTAGAAGTGCATGTTTAATAAGGGTGCTTGAATGCAGGCAAGTCAGAATGGGAAGCGAGGAAGTGATGGGGGTTAAGGAAGAGGACACAATTTTTAATGAGGTTTCATGGGTGGCTCGAGGCAAGGAATTGACAGCTCCTATCTGGGATCTCACACAAGACTGCACGTGGACCTGGGGGCCATCTGCGGTGGCTCTGTGGCTTCCCACTGGACTATTTATAGGAAAACCAGCACGTGGGACACAGAGAAGGCAGGGACTGGAGATGAGCAGTTACACCATGGATCTGGCCAGCACTAGACAGCAGAGGTGGCAGCTTGAAGAGCAGTCACTACAGGAGGGGTGTTCTCTTCTCTCCAGCCCCTGTTGTGCTCTCTTCCCAGTCACACCAGCACTTGCCACCACTCCTGTCCCCCGTGAAGCAATCCTGCTGCCCGAGCTTCTCCAGCCAGCCCTGTTTCCACGATGGCCCCTTGCTAGTCTTGTTATCTCTGGGACATCCCACAGAGATGATAATAACAGCCCTCAAAAACCAGGATTACTCTTGGGATGTGACATATCAGCTCATCTGATTTCAGCCACTGCCTGGGGGTTTCCCACAGCTCCTCGTTGCCTGAGGGAACAGAAAGCTGTGTCTCAAAGAGCACACCATTAAACAGGCTTGGCTTAGAAGTGGGAGAACCACTTGTGGTGGTTATTGCCACTGAATCTGCCTTCCTGGTGGCTGGCTCTGAACCTTGCTGGACGCTGGGAAACCTCAGAAAGGGGTTCTTGGTTGTAAAGAGCTTGAGGAGACTCTAACAATGAATGTAGGGCCTGGACCCCTCACCATGTGATAGCAGGAGGTCCCTGCTGCACTCAAGGCAGCTCTGCCCCCATGTGACCCTTGTTCTTCGGAAAGACTTGTGGTGCAAAGAGCAGTCAAGGCAGAGATGGCATCACCATCATCCCACCCATCCCACCCTGAGGAAGCAGTGACCCTCAAAGCAGCAGGCACGGGAAGCTGGGACCAAGATAACCAGGCTCCATACAAGAAGCAGCAACAAAAGAATGGCTGGAGCCCAGGTCTCCCAGACAAAGCCTATAAAAACTTCTATTTTTTCAATAAAAAGCTTTTGAAAGAACTCCCCTGCTCAAGTGGGTCTTCACACAGAAGAAAACTCTCCCTGAATCAGCCTGGTTTCTGTTCCATCCAAGACAAATGAATCACCAGAAGCATTTCTAGCCTAGGTTTGACTGGAAAACGATTGCATTTCCTTAAGAAATAACACACTCTGTAGGTTTGGATGGTTCCCTCTGAGGAATAAGGGAGAGGGAATAAGAAACAAAACAAAGTAAAGCAACCTGGAGGGGACATGAATTTTAAAACCCATGAACACTTTTAGTTTTCAAATAATCCAAATGAAAAAAAAAATGTTTCACATAGTCACAGAAAAATAATTCTGTTACCTTGATTCTTTGGTGAAGTCTCATGAAAAAGAAAAGAAAGTTCCCCACCTCTGAGGCACCAACCTGACAGCAGCTTGACTGGTGAAAGGGGGCTGATGCCTCCCTGTAGAGGCAGCCTGTAGATTCTCACAGGGATGAGGGCTCAAAAAGAAGAGCTTTTTGAGCTCTTGGCCTCCCTCCATGCTGCTTCCCATTCCAGCATCAGTCTTGACCTGCCCAGACTCTCCTTCACCTCTTTGATGAAGATGACTTCAGACACCCAGCTCTAGCTCTCTGCACTGGGCTGGAGGCATCACAGCTCCTCATCTCAGCAGCTTCATTTTTTTCTGTGATGAGCTGCTGCGTGGAGATCCCACAAAAACCCAACCTACCCTGCAAAACCTGACCATCCAGGACAGAGCCATCAAAATCATTGTGAAAGCTGAGCAAACACAGCCTCATCAGGGAGATATATAAGGGATATGATGCTTCTTGAGGAATCAAAGGATCTTCCTGCTATGGTTTTCCCTGACTGGTGGACTGGGAAGTTTTCTATTGGCATCTATGTTGTTCATCTGTGCTGAAGATGGCTGTGCTCAGAGATGAGACTGTTACCTTCTTTCTTTCCAAACATAATATCCAGTTCTCTCAGGCACTGCAAGGAAATGGCTGACTGCTTTTGAAAATATGGGCCATTGCTTCAGTTTTGGGGCTAGAAATTTTGGCTTGGTTATACTGGATTTGACCTATTCCAAAGTATCAAGTCAGCTGAACATCCAGTGCCAGGAGTTCTGGAGAAGTTGACTGGCTTTTGTTAGTATGCTGTGGGGTTGGAAAAAGCTGTTTACCTAGAGGACTGCCATGATACACAGCTCCTGTGCCAGGATATTTTCCCTGGGATGCTCTGGGCCCCATTGAGCCTGTACCTACCATGGCTATGAGACCAGGCATCAAACCTGAGCCTTCCTCCAGGTACAGTGGACCTACATCCCCAGTAATCCTCACTCTGCCCGACCTGGGCATGCTCCCATTACCACTGGAGTAGTCAAAACAGAGAGGGGAATTGCTGTGCCCCTTTGCACCTTTCTCATCTGAACTCAGGATCATCTTCCTGGAGCAAGTCACTGCCCCAACAGACCAAGATCTGCTCCCAAACACGCTTACAAAACACCTGCTGCCAGCGACCACGTGGGCATGTTCCCAGAGTCCTAGAGCAGGGCTTGAATGCTGAGGGCAGCCTCTGGAGAGCAGCAGATAACCATCCCATGAACAGGTGCCCCACGGAACGACCATCACACACAACAGCATCACTGCTTCCCAGAAAATGACAGTAGGCCCGAGTGGATTAAAGTGCTGGAGCACAAAGCTGGTGGCACCGAAGCCCAGATGCCCCAGCCCCAACCTCACGGCCCCCTCCAGCAAGAGCTTTATGAGCTCAGCTTACCCCCTCCCTCTGCCCACTGCCTTTAAGACAGCGTGCAGCATGACAGCTGGGAAACCCAATCTGATCCAAATTTTGTTACAACCCTGCTGGTTTTTATCCTTGTTTACCAGCATTAATTTTAATGGCTTTCCCTACATTAACTTTGTCCTGAATCAGTTGGAGGAAAATTCCTACTCACTTGCCTTCTGGAGAACAGACTGGGTAATTTTCCCTTGTCATTTAACAGCCCGCCTGGGCTGCTCAGAAATGACAACCACACTGTGTTCTTTGTGGAGGGCAATAAACTTCCCAAGGCCGGGGGAGGAGAATACATATTCCTGAATACACTGGCCCTTCTTGGTTCAGTTTGGGTCTTGGCTTGTGCTGGCACAGCAAGTGGAATTTCTTCCTCCTCACCAGATGCTGTGAGTGTGGTTCCACTCCTTTCTCCTGCTCACAGAGAGGTGTGATGGCTCAGGCCATGGGAAGGAAGAGAAACACTCAGGACTCTTTCAGCACCTTTACATTCCCACTACAAAAAACAGGGCAACGGTTCTTTCCACAAAAGATATGCAAGGGTTCAAATTCAGGCATGTTTCCAAAGTTTTCTGTCTCTGACAGCATAAAACAGGAATGTGGTGAGAGCAAGGGAAGCTGCTTGATGTATCACATGATGCCCATCCTTTAAAAGTACAGATGTTCCCTCCATGCTCCAAGGGACGATTTGGAAAACGGAGGGCTCAAAAACTCCTACTATATCCAACCACAAGCACCTGGGCTGCTGTAGGGAGAGTGTTGCCATGGAAAGATGAGGGAGGCAGCAGTGTGGTGGCTGGAGTATTCCTACCAATTACCATGAAGAATTTTGACTGCTCTGCTGTGTTTCCTGCAAGAGCCTAGCAACCACTTCCTAAGAGTTACACACACATGGAGAAGCGTTTGGCAGGGTTACATGCCAAGGAAGCAGGCAGGGAGGGGTCTCGGGCAGGGACACACTGCCTGTGTGCAGCTTGGACACCTCAATTCCTGCTCCAGGAAGCTCATGCAGAGGTGCAGGCCATCAGTGGATCACATGGACACCAGAGCAGGGCGAGGGAGGGGGTGACATGCAGGAGACAGAACCACAGGGAGGAGGAGACCTGAAGAAGGAACCAGATGTCCCACCTTCACAGGGCAGAACAGGGCAGCTTGTCGTTGCTCAGTTCAGAGGTCCTGGATGGAGAATTCCTGTCATCAGCAATCTCTTCTACGTACAAGCAAACTCGTCCATGGGTTCACTTCAAATGTGTTGTTTGCACCAGGACTCCTGCTATCTGCCCTAATAAAACAGGAGAAACAAGACTTACAAGATACCTTGCACTGAAAGAGTGAGTGACCCAGAGTCAGGGGCCACAGCATCCTACCCTCTTCCACATCCTGAAGTAATGAAAAGGCAGATAGTCCACATGTGCCAGTCTGGCCTCTTCCACAAAAAGGGCACTACAAACTGACAAAGAACAGCTTCTGCCCATTCATTAAGTTCTTGGCATTAACAGATTTCTCTCCAACCAAGCCATAAAACCCAAAGCTGCATGCAAGCAGCATCCTAAGATATCCTTGTAAATCTCAGCCACCACCTTCATTAATTACAACCCAGTGATAGTTCAGGCCATTAGTTCTGGATGGTAACTTCATTTATTCCCACGTTAATGCTCGATGTCAGTGGTTATCTCATTACCACTCTATTACTCACCTCCTTAATCCATCATTGCAACCCAGGCCAGAAGGGAGGAGCAGAGTTTGCCCTGTGTCTGTCAAAAGATGATGCATCAAGTGTAGAGCACCTAGAAATCACAAACAAAGCCCTTCTAATCTGCAGCTGAGGTTATATCTATTTAAGAGGAGGAAATGACACAGATGAGTGTTGTCAGGACCACAAACATGCTCTAGCATTGAAAAATTGTGGATTGGTACCTATTAAGTCAGAGCCAAAAGCTTTGGTAAGAAGCACATATTAGCAGTTATACAGAAAAATGACACTAACTCCACCCTCCTCCTCAGACTCTCCTTCCTCCAAACCCCAGGTTAGATTCAAACAGTTACTGCCTGTTAAACGCTTTGGGAAGGCAGGTCAAAGTAAGGGCACTGGGAGCTGCTACCTGCTGAATGCTCCAGAAAACACACAGGCAGCATTGCACAAACCACCAGCCCCGAGTGTCAGTGCAAATACACCTAAAACATGGACAGGTACAACAGTTCTTGGCATTTCAACTTGTACGAGCTGTAGTTCCTCTTGTGTGGTGAGCAGGCACTTCCAAAAATGTGCTTTATTGCACCTACCACACTCCTGCCTTTCCCAGGATTTACTCCACCCGCTGATCTGGCCCCGTGGGTCTGATCAGGGTGTCCCAGCCCAGCAAGACCAGCAACTTTCCCTGTCTCATTCCCTCCTTCTTCCAAATAGTCTTGCTGGAGACATCATTTCAATCTTCCCCTGCCTGATTCAGAAAAAGGGAAGCTGGTTTTATGTTGACAGGCTGTGAAACGAAGATGTGAGCTAGGGAAAGGTTCAGAGGGATGTTTCTCTTGCAGCAACACAGGTTCTTAGAGCAAGAAAAGCACCTCTGCTCTGCCCAGATATGACACTCAGACAACAGGCAGGTGACTGTGGTTTTCACTGCTTCCATGTGACATGATAAGGAAGGACTAAAATCCTCTAATGTGGAAGAAGTTCATGCCACAAAAGCAAGGTAGAGAAAGAAGACACAGCCCCAAGATGATGGCAGGAGTGAAAAATAGCAATGATTTCCTCTGTGATCAGTAAATCCCCAGATAACATGCCTGTGCTGGCAAAAGCAGGCTCTAAATAGTGCTGTGCCAGAACAACTGACAGGGCAAGTCTGCAAGATGCCACAATCAGATGTAATTAAAACACCTTTGCTGCCCTGCTTTCCATTCTCTCAGCAACAAAATCCATTACAGAATGCAGTAAGAAAATGATTTAAAATGTCCCTGAAGCCAAGTTGTTGACACCAGCGTAGACAGATGGATTTTGATACACCCTTGATTAAACAGCTTACTGTAGAAGGCAAAGAGGGCAGGAAAGGAGCTGGGTGATGAGCCAGAGGCCCATCTGAGAAACAGGGATTATCCTCCAGGGAAAGCAAGTGCTGCTGCAACAGAAAGATGTCCCATCAACCAGCCAGAGGCTAAAATAGCCTCATCCCTTTGGGAAGCAGGCTGCAACCCTCTGCTCCTGTGCCAGGCTCCTGTTCCTGAGCTTCCTCCTCAGAGTCAGGCCAGCAACACCACACACATCACTGTTTTCATTCTCTGATGAAAGGCTGTGGTGAAAGCAAACAGCAGAAAGCCTCACACAGGGCCCAGCCCATCGCAGGGCCAGCAGTACTTCCATTTACATGGATTTAGACATCTTGGTGGGATTCCCCACGGTGCAGTAGAATATGTCTCCAAGCACAGTTTTCCCCACAGGCACTCATAACATCTCTCTTCCTCCTTCTCTCACACACAGATGCCCTTGGACTGATAAGGATTGAACTCTTCTTGCATAGAGGGGCAAAGATAAAGTCTTCTCCCTGGCCTTCTATTTATATCAAGCTGGTAGGAACTTGTTATCTTTAAGATCTCTGGCACGAGCAGCTGCAATCAGCCATCAGGTTGGAAAGTTATTAGGAGTGGGCAAAAAGGAGCCAAAACCACATTAACCCTGTTTTCTCAGGGGAAAAAAAGGCAAGAAGGAAAGGGTGTTACAACTGAGCGTGGGCAGCTGCCCTGTCCAACTCTTAGGGACCTCAGAGAGAAGAAATTCAGGTGGGACAGTGGGTCAAGCACAGCCCAGGAGCTCAGAGAACAACCTGAAGATAACTCAGAGCTGAGGTGAAACACCTTGAGTGAGCACAGAGGTGCTGCAGAAACAGGGGTGGGTCATGGAGCTACAGAAACCAGAGACCACTGTTTACCAATTCTGTGTCATTCTGGCCCACCTTGGTGGCCAAGAGCTTTGAAGTTGCTGTGGCCTGGTAGCAAAGGCTTCCAGGCATGTCCCACAAGGAAAGGGGGCTTTCCCAGCAAATATTCCTCGGGCTTTGTGTACAAAAATATTTGACAGAAGATTCCAGACCAGGAAGGACTTATAAGTCAGAAAGTATAAGATACTCAATATCCCCAGCTCCTGCAGTGGTAAAGCCCCTGTTTATACACAACATTTGTATCTCTCATTACTAACATACATCAGATGGTTCAAATTTCCCCCACTCCCTCACATGGCCTGAAAGAAACTGAAGCGAGCAGCAAGAATCCCTGCCCAGTATCCACTTCATTATTTTTCTGGGACTTGCCTGCGAGTGCCCTGTGCAAACACGACACTTGGGAACCCTAAAAACCTTGCTTGTTTTTATAGGCACTTTCAAGACTGAGTTGGCTTTTGGTCCCAGCTCTGTTCAACGCAGTGCTGGTTCATACCCACTGATCCTCAGATCTGCAAACAGCTGAGGGGCAGCCAAGCTCCCTTCTGAGTCATCAGAAATTCAGCCTCACGTTAACCAGCGCAGGGCCCAGGCGCTGCAGAGAGCACTGCCTGCAGCTCCACCTTCCCTGCAGCCATTCAGTCTGGGAAGGGATAATCCTGTCTCCAGCAAGAAAGCAGGTGTCTGAAAAACGTGTTCGCCAGTGCATTTCAATTAACAATGTTTTTAAACACCGTTTCACACCCGGTGCAAACACAAGTCACGTCTCCAGAAAGAGAGGGGTGCTCTTCCACGGGGTATCACAGCTGTTTGTAGCCCGTGGTTTCCCCACCTGGGAAAGGTGAGGGGGGATCCACCTTTATTTTAAGGATGCCTCAAGCAAAGCCTCACATCTTTTAAAACAGGGCAAGAAGGTCACATTTTACTGCTTAGCAACTTTCCTCTCCCAAAAGCCATCGTCCAAAGCTTACCCTGGCTGTGTGGGCACCTGCACACGGAGCCAAAGGAGCAGCTGGTCCTTGCCTCGGTCTTGCACTGCCCTTTCAGGTAGCTGACAGCTGAGCATTTTATTCCCCCTGCAAACAAAACACATCGGTTGAGCACTCCCAGGGAAGCAGCAGGACCAGAGCAAATTCCCAGAAAAAGCCTTGGCAGTGTTCCTCCCGCTCCCTCCGTGGCTGCGAGTGAGACGGAGTAACGGAGCACGACACATGGAGCAGCAGAAGCTGAAGAAGGCACGTGTTACCGCAAGGAAAATTAACAATATCGAGGGGGAGGGCGGAGAAGGGAAAGCACTTGCTAACAAATATTTATTAGAACACAATCTTATCCTCATCTGACCCCGATTCCGATTAAAGGAACCCAGACAGACTGGCATCACTGCCGGGGCACTCAGGCGACATCTCTGACCATCCATGGATGTAATTGCCCAGGAGGTCCCACAACCACCCTCTTGCCTTCCCCTCGGCACTCTGAGATGCCTCAGCTTATGTCACCCCTCCATGGCAGGGGGGTTGGAACAAAATGATCTTTAAGGTCCCTTCCAAGCCAAACCATTCTAGGATCCTAATATTGTGTTTTAAGGCCACTCAGCCCCACTCTCCAGGCTCCCAGAGCCCTCTGACGTAGCCAAAGCATCTTCCAGTCTCTGTGGAGAGGTCCTGTACGAGATCGCTCTCCATGCATCCAGCTCACCGTGGCCTGTCTTGGATACAAAAGGACACTCAAGCCCTGCAACTTCCATAGATCTCCTTCCATGTGTCCTCTACAGAGATCAGCAAGGGATGTGCTTCCCATCCCAGCAGGCCAGCGTGCTCCATAAAACGGAGGGAGAAATCTGCTATCCTCAGTGGGGTTTGAGGGCTTCCAAAACCATCTAGTTTAGGACCCAAGTGTGCCAGCCCTATCAATAGCTACAGCACTTCACAGGAGCACAGGGAACAACAGAACCCTAGAATGGGTTGGAAAGGACCTTAAAGATCACCTAGTTCCAACCCCTCTGCCATGAGCAGGGACACCTTCCACTAGACCAGGGTTTAGGGACCATAAACATTGGAAGTCTTGGGAAATCCAGACACGTGCCAAGTTGTTTGACAGACTCCTGAAATGGCCCAGTAAGCAACGGGCTTGGTGCAGTGTCCCCATCAGTCACTGGCCACTGAGCCTGATCCCACAGCATAACAGCAGCCCTTAAATACTCTTTACATTTAAAAAAGAATGAAGAGCCAGGGCGAAAAAAATGCCGCAATGGAAGCAGAGAGTTGAAATTCAACCCCTGTAAGAAGCCCTAAAGACAAAAGCACATTTCACATTCTGAAATCTGTAAGAGAGTTGATTTTCTGTTCCTCAGCTTCAATCACCTCTTTGCTAGTGAGATTTGGCACTAGCCCAGGTCTCCTGAGGAAGCAGAGGCAAGGATTTTCCGAAGGATTTGTCACCCACATCTCCTCCCGCAATGTTTCCACGGGGATTTTTTAATGAGCAAGGGCCTCCTTTGAAAAAAAAAAAAAAAATCTGCCTTTAAAAGATGAGGCCATGCCCACGAGAAACCCAGGAGCAATATTTCTACCTCAGCCCCAGCTCCAAGCCCACTGCTTGCCTGCAAGCCCTGCTGCTCCACCTGCTTAAGGAGGATGTTTTCATTACTGTTCAATTTGCAGTGAGTTGAGTTTCACGTCCTTCATTGGATTATTTTTATATTTAATGTCCTCTCCTCTCCTCCTCTTCTTTTTATAGACTGGTAATCCAAGTCCCTTGGCAAGGCTGAGTAATCTCAATCAGATTTTAATCAAAGTAAGCCAGATCCTCAGCTGCCAGTATTGATGCATCTGCCTTTAAATATTTGAACGATGCCGATTTACCCCGGCGAGGCCCGGGCCCCATCCGCTCAGGAAATTTAAATTCCTTCCTATGCATCAAGCTAAAACAACAAGGCAGAACAAGCAACCTGCTGCGAAGGGGTTTTAGTTTATAAAACCAATACCCAGGATTTCAAAACTAAATGAAAATCTGAGATAATCCCTCCCCAAATCCAGCCTGGGAAAAGCACTGTGGACAGATAAGTATCAAGTAACTTCTTAAAACACACTTTTTCCTCTCGTAAAAGCTTTCATCAAGTCAGAGCCAAAGGGAAATTACCCACCATGCTTCATTCCTTGACATGACCCAGAGAATTCATGTTTTCCATCCATAGAAAATGCATATTTTACCCATGCAGGCTTCTCCAGGATGGACCTGCTTCTGCTTTGTTCAGCAATGACCTTTGTGTCACTGCCAAACCCCAGCATCTAAAATCAGCATATTAGTCGGAAAATAATGAGATTTCTGGAATACAAAACGTTGGCTCCATTTTCCTTACCTTCAAAGATGATATCTGCCAGCTTCCCTCCACAGATTAGAAAGATAAAAAAAGCACTTAGATGAAAAAGAGTCTCATCTAATCGTCTGACTCCAGGAGACGCGTTTGAGGTGGAGACGGGGGCTGTCCCACGGAACTTGTCAGTATTTGGACTGCAAACAGGGTCCAAGTGACTCCAGAAAGAGATGATTGCCTAAAATACACTGCTAAAGGCAAGGCAAGCCAGTTACACTGATTTACTTACTCATTTTGGGGGTGAATCCTGAGAAACACTAAGGATTTCTCAGGGTCTCCGGTCATTTCCACTGAGACAGAGGTTACACAAAGCATCATCACCTGAGGAGTTACACCAGAGCATCACAGTCAATCTGCATTTCCATCCCTGCTGCTGGAATGTTGTAAGGTCTTCAGGGCTTGTCAGATCCCTGCTCTAGTTTAGACCCAGTCCTGAACAAGAGGAGAACAACTCAAGGACCTCAGTCCCTCCTTCCCCCAGGAGGCTGAGGGTTCCTACTCACCTGGAAGTGGACCTGCTCTTTCTTCCACCTCCAGGTGGGCTGGCTTACAAGCAGGCAGGCTGGGATCAAATCCTGCCCTGTCTGCGACTCTTATTTGCCATCCTGCTTCACAGCTGGGTGCCTCAGTTTTGCTCTCCACACCCCAAAGTCAAGATGGAGGAAGAAATCCAGTGAGGAGCAGCTGAGAGAGCTGGGGTTGTTTACTCTGGAGAAAAGGAGGCTCAGGGGGCACCTCATCACTCCCTACAAACTGCCTGACAGGACATTGTAGCCAGGTGGGGGTCGGTCTCTTCTCCCAGGTAACAAAGGATAGGACAAGAGGAAATGGCCTCAAGCTTTGCCAGCGGAGGTTTAGACTGGATACTAGGAAAAATTTCTCCACTGAAAGGGTGTTCAAGCACTGGAACAGGCTGACCAGGGAAGGGGTGAAATCACCATCCCTGGAAGTGTCCAAAAAACATGTGGATGTGTCACTTGGGGACGTGGTTTAGTCCCCAAGACTCTTGGAGACTTGGCAGTGCTGGTTTAATGGCTGGACTCGATGATCTTAGAGGTCTTTTCCAATCTAAATGATTCTGTGAGTCTATAATCACCTTCTTGCAAGAGCCCAGCCCTTCAGATCCATATCATGTCCTTTATGCAAGTCCAGTAAAAATAGTGACCCACTCAACTGAGCAAACACCACAGGATTAGATGCTGCCCTGCAAGGGACAAAGCCACAGGACAGTGTCACTAAGATGTTATTACTCATTAAGGGGACCAAAAACAAGCTGGGCCTTAAAAAAGCATGAGTCAGCTGATGGTTGTGAGGGGAAATGACAAAGGCAGAACTAGGGATGAGGAAAGAGCAAGGACTTGGTTTCTTTCCCCATGGCTCTTCCACAGTTCTGCAAGGAGAAGAGTGCTCTAGTGGACACAACATCACCAATTGCATCCCATAGGGAAGGAACATTAAACAGGCAGCAAAGGGACCAGTGGCATGGCCAGGGACTGACCTCAAACCATATCTTATACAGGGGTTTAAATCCAAGTCACTGGTGTCTCCTCCAGTCTCTAGACATGCAAGACAAGCTCGATCCGGCTGCACACAGACACTCGGGAAAGCCATGGCAAATCATCTAAGGTGGGATTCAGCACAGGATGCACATTAACAGGCACATTAAAATGGTCTCATGAAGGGAAGTATATGGAGGAGCATCTGCAAGGGGGTTAACAAGCTCCAGCTCCTGCGAGCAGCCAGCGTTTTTTGTCCTTTCCTATTAGCTCACCCGAGCATCCCCCATCCGAGACACAGGTTCCTACGACAGATGGCCTTATTAGTGCCCATGTACGGCGACAAGGAGACCACAACAGGTGGCCCAGACAGTAACTGAAACACTTCACCCCACTTGCCCCAAAACAGGCTCAAGATCACGCCAAGGGCAACCAGGATCGAAGCACGAAGAAGATGTCATGTGTAAGTAAATCCAAATTACCCTTGCGTGCCTTCTGCCCTGTTACGGTCCCAGCTGGAACATGTTGTCCAGTTTGGGATGCTGATCTCCCAGACAGCGTGAACAATTGGAGACAGTCCAGAGGAGACAGACAACAGTGACTGGAAATCTATAGGAGATGGCTGGCAAAGAAGGATGGAAAGCATTTGTGATGCTGAGCGTAGAGAGGATGGAGACATGGTTACAGTCTTCAGACAAACAAAAAGGAAAGGGAAAAAAACCACCCAAAACCAATCCTACCTGTGGAAAGGACAAGAAATCCTGAGCTTAATTTAAAACAAGGAATCTTTTCAGTCAAACATTAAAAAAAAGCTTTCCAAGTGTACAGACAGCAAAAGCACCATACACTTGTCAGAACTCCATTGCTTTCTTCAAACATCCACTGTTAAATTAAACCCTTTGGGCTACGCTGCAGAAGACCCCATAACTCAGCTGCGAGGCAGTCGAGAGAGTTACGAGCTCATTCTGCACTGTGACGTGGGGAATGGATAGTCCAACGCCAGTGAAAAAGAAATTAATTTCCAGGCCCATCATAAAAAACACCAAAAAAACAAAAAGCCACACGGCAGCTGCTGCTCAGAGGGACCTTTAAAAACCCTCCCGGTGCGAAAAGGTCAGCGAAGAAGGGAGCGGGCGCGTGCTTCCAGGGCTGGCAGGAGCTGGGGAATGGAGAGCAAAAATCCACAGCAAAGCTGGGCCTGCTGGAGTGGTGGAAAACCAGAGAGCAGAGCAACAATACCCACCTGTCCTCTGTAAGGTGACTCACCCACCCTGCCCAGCTGTGCCCTCGCAAGACCTCCCATGGAGTTTTGGATGCTCTCTCCTCCGGCATACACAAGTCTTGCTCCAAGATCAGGCCGTTTCCATGCTGTGGCTCAGGACTGAGCCCTGCAGGTCGACTCTAACAGCTGATGGGTGCCAATAGGAGGCAGGAGCACGTGGTTGGGTGCTCTCAGCAGCCGGAGGAGGAAGAGGTTTGGGATGTCCATGTCCAGCAAAATAAAACAGTACATACACTTCTACATACCCAACCAAATCAAGAGTATATTTCTACATATCCAACCAAATAAAACTCAGAAGAGGCTTTTCAAACCTAAGGCCAACCTGGGTGCCCTCAAATTCTCCTGAACTTTACTTGGAAATGGGATTTTTGCGACCCTCCTTGGATTTGGGTTGCGGCTGCCTGCTGACCTCTGGTGTGAGTCAAAAATACAGGCATTTTTCTGTCTGCCTCATCTTGGGTGTGCTCTGTTCCAGACAGACTGGCTGGAGCCAATTCTTGTATCATTTCTCCAAATTTGTCCAAGCCAAAACTGCTTCTTGTGCTCCGCGGCCCAAATCTCCATGGATTTGAGCTCTCCATGTATTTTTGGCTGGATCTGGAGTCCAGGGAGCTGAGAAATTCTTGGAGGAACCAAACTCTGGCTATTTGCTTTAGTACTCATCAGAAAACACAGCATGATACAGATCCATGATAAAGCATGGATCTGATGGAGAGTCCCCTAGTGATGCAGACAAGGTTTTTTGCAGCAGGTTTCACTCCAGATTGAGCCATTCCAGCACGCCAGACCTAAATTTCAAGCCCAGAAAAATTCCTCCTGAGTTTCTGCTCACACACTGACTTGTGTTCGTGTGAGGCTTGGCTCAGACCATCACACTCACTGTATTTTGCAAGACTAAATGCAGTCAAAGTCAGCTCACATGAGAAGAAACTTCTGGACGTCTTCCACCGCTCCTTTTCTTGCATGTAGCATGGTGAAACTAGGAGACATGTTTGCAGCGAACTATTATCCTCAGCACTCTGCTTCCTGCTTTGTTTATAGAGACTTTGGGGAGATTTGTGTGCCTGGTGATGAATTACAGGGAGGAAGACAAACATATTTTACTGTTCTGGGCAAGGAGTGCTGGAATCCTGCGGACATCTGGAGGAATTATCTGCAGAAAATTAACATTGTTTGTCATTTGCATGATGAACTTCTGGATCCCAAATGAATGACGGGAAGGAGCCGGTGGGAGATGCTCATTATCCCTGATGGAGTGAAGCCCCTTGACACGATGCTAAGGTCGCCATGATCTATGGACCTGCTGACTGACAACTGCGAGAGCTCTGGAATTGAACACACGACATAACTGGGGGCGTAAGCGATCTGCCACATTAAATGCCGAGGCGTTAATAATTGTTGCTTGCCTCTGATTGCCAGAGTTTCGGATGCACTTCTTCTGGCTGCCTCACAGGGCACGTTTTAACTCCTTCCTGGCTCGCTTCAGGGGAACTCAACACTCAAACACACGCGCAGGTATCCAGGCAGCCTCATGGATTAAAACTTCCAGGCTTTCTCGTTCATCTCTTGATGTGCCTTTCGGGATCATGCTCCCAGCAGCTCCCTGACACAGATTCCCCACCTCTGCCTCTGTAGCAGTTACAAATCCCAGGTGGCAGCACATGACGTGCCATCACCAGCCCTGCGCTCCAATTCACAGTGTGGCAGAGAAGCCCTCGAAGTTTTCCCAGCACTCCAGTGCAGCACACCTTGTTCCTCTGTATGTTAAATTTGCCTCTTGGGAGCCAACTTCAGGTTTCTTTTCCTTGCGGCTCTAACAAGTGCCGAAGCCAGGGAGCAGCTCTTGGAGAGCTGGGAGCACCACTAGCTGCAGGGTAGGGTAGCAGGGAACCAGAAGAGTCGAGTCTGAGAAATGTCATCTCACCTAGGACATGGCTCTTGGTCTCTTTGAAAAGCTGAAATATTCTATGATCTGTTTCTGAGTTGTTGCTTCTAAGTCCTCTGAAATCAGTGTTTCCCAAAGTGGGGGGTATGTTCCACTCTGCTTCCCAAGGAAAGAAGCACAGGTGGGGTGCAGAAGGGGTGGGAAGTCTTTCCAGAGGAGCAGAGCTGGTACGTGGCACTTTTATTCAAGGGGAGGCAAGAAAAGCAGAGGGCACCTGGGCTCAGACTGAATTCACTCACAGAAGCACTGCCTCAAGTGCTTTCATAAGCTCCTCTAAATTCATTTCCCAGTGCTTTCACCCCCTATCTCTAAGCAGAGAGAGCAGCACTCCCCTTCCTCACAGGGTGCTGGGAATTCACAAACATTTCTGAGGCAAGAAAGCAGAAGAATGTCTGCTTGATGAAAAATGTAATGAAATCCCAAACGTTTTGGTCACCAGGACCATCCCATCATTGCCATACAATGAGGAAAGCAAGGGAAATCCTCTGCTGCAGACCACAGCCTCCCTGGGAGCACGAGGGGGCTGAGACCTGAGGAGGGATGGTTACACTGACAATACTCTCCGTGCAGAGGTGCTGCCAAAATATACTGACACCTTCTCTTATGTCAAATGAAGCGCCACGCTGACTGACACGGACAGAGAAATTCCTTTCTGGAACATCTCGAGGCCGTGATGGGATGAACAAGTGGATGGGGTGACGCAGTTTGACTTCGCCTGAGAGACAGGGATGAAAGCACCCTATGGATTTGGGGCAGGGGTGGGAGAGGCAGCACCATACCCACCTGTGCTTTGTGAACAACTGCAGCTCACGGCATGGCTCCACTCCAAGTTCTTTCCCTCCTTACTGGGGCTGGAGCTGAGACAGGGAAGAAAAATGAGCATCTGGAAGTCCATATGAATAAGCTAATGCCGCAGGGCTGTCAGTCATGTGCTAATACCCTTAGCTAAAGAAACATATTGATCCTGATTGCCTGGAATTGCACTTGAAAAGGGCTGGGTGACATTTCCAAGGAGACACGAGCTACTTTCAAGTCAATTAGCGGCATTGGAGGATTCATGCCGAGGGGACGCGCTCACCTCCGAGGAATGCCAGGAGAGAATGAGAATTGAATTAAGCCTTTTCATACACCGAGAAACAAATCCTTTAATGGCCTGTAACAGCTGACAGGACACCCAGGGTCGCCAAAAGCATGCTGGCAGCAGCCAGGTGAAGAAGCTTCCCCGTGATGAAGCTGGGGACTGCAGAGCAGCTGAATCATTGCGAAGGGCCCAGGAGGGCAGGCAGAGTTGCACAGGGTAATCCTCCAGGAAAAGGGAACGGGAGGAAGCAAAGTTCCATGTCAACAGTGCGTGTAAGGCTCCTCATTCCTCTCCAGGCACCTGATCTCCCTTGGGGCTCAACGGGAACGTCACAGCCAGCACATCTCACGTACCACTGAGCAGCATGACCCTCGTGGAACAGCATTTAGATGAGGTCTTTTCCTCACTGCCTTCCCCAGAAAATTCCTTCCTCCTATGGATCCTGGAGCCTAGGACCCCAGGCAGGTTTGAAACCAGCACAAGAAATCCAAAGGTGGAGAAATTAAGGTAACACTGCAACCCCTCTCATTTTTCTATCTGCGGGTGCTCTGACCCACATTTAGTTTCCATGGTTCCTTTTATGTTCCTATAAACATGAGGCTTGTACCTGAATTCAAGGCTTTCTGGACAGCTTTACAGAGATGATTTCCTGCTCTCTCACAGCAACTGCAGTCATTCTGTCTCACAAGCCAGGGAGCACAACCCTTCGATCCCTGTGCAGGAGGGTGAGGAGCTCCAGTGAAAAGCCTTTCAATCCTCCTGCAAGGTGAAAGCGTCCCCGCCAGCTACAGACTGACTGAGAAGCCTCAGACCTGAACAGGTCCCAAGAGCATTTGAATCTTCCCGAGTATGGCACAGGAAAAAGAAAATGGAAAGAGAAGCCATCCCACATGTTTTCTCCAGCCTCTGTTCTGCAACCTCTCAGACACTGTGGGTTTCCCTGTGGTAGAATCTCTCAGCCATGAGCTCAAAGACATCTTCAACACACTGGTGACATTCAGAGGCCCCAGAAATGCCAGTGTTTTCTTCTAGGTGTTGCACCAGCCCGGGGAAAGCTGCCCCTTGCCCCCACCTTCCAAAGCTGAGTAGTTCAGCTAAGCCTAAAAGCCCAGTCAAGTCCCCAGCCCCTTCCTCATCCACCCACCTACCCCAGGGATGCTGCAGTAAGAGTTCTAATGGGGCCAACCCTTCCGTGCTGCAGCAGCATAAGTTTAATCATGAGATTTTCTACCCATTCTTACCATGATGCAGATTTTCCTAGTCCAGCACAAACCAAGACCCTCTCAGTCCTCCCCTGGCTTTCCCACCTCCCCTCTTCTCCCCACTGCTGCACTCTTAAACTGAGTGATAGAGACAGCCAGCACCAGTCCCAAAGGAAATCAAATGGAAGTTGTTCCTTTCAACTCAGCTGAAGAAAAGAGCCCGTGTTTATAAACCTGCAGGCTTCAGGCAGAATAAATGAATCTCCTAATAGCCCCTGCAGACAGGAGGAGGCTTGGGAAATGGATTCTCCCATGGGCTTGCCATGGAGCGTCCCTCTGAATTTTTAACCGAGCAATTTCTCACCGGAGTTTCTCGCGTGGCCAGAGAGAAAATGAAAGCAGAATTCTGACACACATCCAACAAGCCCTGCAGAGCCAGGGCCCCTGTTCTTTCGGTGACACCTCAGACCACAAACGTCTCTCCAAAGCACAGCTGAAAAGCTCAAGAAACCCATTTTTCCACTAGAACGACAGAGTGCAGAGTGTCAGGCTCATTTTGCAAGGACTAGTAGGAGCCTGGATCTCAATTAAAGCTAGCAGGGCTCAAAATAGCCCTTTGCAGTATTTGCAGCCTGTAACATAAAGCATGGGTCATATTACTGAAAGCACCTGAGGAACACAAACGGCTGAGGCTCAGCTTCAAAGTGACCTTTGCTTCAACACCTACATATTTTCCTCCGTGGATGGAATATAGTTAAAAGCAACACACAACGACCATTTAATATACTGAAGAAGTTGGCCAGACCACACTGATGCTTACAGGTAGAGAGCTGATGCACAGCAGTGACTTTTCCAAGGCTATCCAGTAAACACAAAACACAATCAAGACTTAACCCCAGGTCTTCCAAATCCCCTCTCTTCCCCCCCCAGACCATTGCACTTTGCTTTTTGCTAGCTATTAAAAGCCAGTTGAAGTGATACAGTATGGCTGCATGGACATGCTCAGCAACCAGTGCTCTAGTGAGGAGCACAGCCAAGAGAGAGAGAATCTGTTCCCTCTGTGAGATGGGAAGAAAGTGGAGGGGCACAGCAGGGTGCTCCTGACAAGATGGGAAGGAAAGCAAAGGGTTCTTTTTCTTTTTTTATTTTTTTTGCCTTTACTGTGAAGAGATGTCTGCACTTCACTTACTAACAGGAAGGCTCAGCCCCAGCTAGAGAACAGCAGGAGGGACTAATAAACAGGGTCTTCTCACCGTTTCTCTATAAATATCAAGCATGAGCTCCTGCCCATGAAAGCAGCCCATTACATTTCTGGGGCGCTCTCACCCAGCCATACAGGAAGCCAAACTGATTTAATGACCCTTTCTGGGTTTCAAACAAAGCAACATCATCTCCCCAAACACCAGCAGCACAGAAGAACCCACCAAGGGACTAAAACATGTAAGAAAGTCAACTTTGATTATCCCAGAGTCTGTGGGGGCAAAGGGAATGGTTCAGCTCGCTTCCAGGCTTGAAGGACCCCAATCTCATCTGCATGGAAATGCCACCACGCGTGCTGGCCTATTTTTACTGTGTTTTAATAAAAGAGAAGTAGTTTCCTCTGCTGCAGAGCACAAGATGCAGGAAGGACTGGCCCAACCACCCAGAAAATAGTCTGCCATGATGGAAGAGGATCACGGATGCTGTAGAAAGGGAAGGGGGACAGACAGAGGGACCAGAGGTGGATGTGCTTCACTGGCCAGATGATGAGCCACTGGGTTGATGGGTGGATGGAAGGAGAAATGAGCAGGTGTCTGGGGGAGCTGGAGGGATGGGAGAAGGGGAGGTCCTCCATCAAGTCTCAAAGCTGTTTGCTCTGGCCCCAGTTGCCATTATGAATTTCTTCTGCCCTTGGTAAAGATGATTCAAAACCCAACCTAGTATGAAGCTGGAGGAGGGTTCAGGTAATTTTTTTTCCACAGCCAGCTTCAATTCTCATCAAATCCCAGTTCACCCCAGCAATCCCTGTTGCAGCAGTCTCAGCGAATCCAACAATCCCAGGAGCCCACATCCCTGCACTGGGAAAGGGCTTAAACACACACAGCCCGGGAGAGATCTTCCCCTACCTTCTCATATCTAGACCTGAGGGTTCAGCTTTGTCTTCTTACATAGATATTTTCGTGGAGGCAGGAGAATTAAGCTTTATTAAAATAAAGGCTGTGATTCTCTCTGTCACATGCACCCACGACACGGGAGTTCAACGTGACATGTACCACCAGGAGGGCTACCAGCAAAATTGCAAGAACTAGTAACCAAAAGGCCTGGGTTCAGCCCAGAGGCAAGGAAAAGACACAACATGATGAGGGGCTGAACATCTTGCAGTGCTCTCACGTGTGTCCTCGGGTCAGGTGTGGAGCCCAGACAGCAGTGGAACAATGCTGATCGTGTTTCCCTCACCCTGTGCCATTCATACTCTAAGGCTGTTACAGCTGCAGCCACGTGCTCCCCACACAGCTACAGACAGAGAGGATTTTATTCTCTCTGGAGCTAAGTCTCTAATCCAAAAACCTGTGGATAAAAAACAGAGTTGGGAAAGGAAGCCATGACCAGCTTTCAGCACCCAAGAAAGCCTGCACAGCCACCTGGGTGCCAATAGGACAGAGATAACGATACTGAAGTGAAAAAAAATCAATTGTTCTTTAAAAGCTTTCTGGGACCATTAGTTAATTAAGCTGCCAACAGATAAAGGTCTATATAAAATGCTCTGATCACCTTCAGCACCCAAGATTAAACAAGAGGACTGGTGTGCACCCCCTGCCTACCTGCAGATTCCAAAACTGTTCATTCTCTGCATGCTCTCCTACTTTCACAGAGCAGCAAGAGTTAAGAAACAGATCCACACTCCTCCAGCAAAAGCAAAGGCACTGCCAAGCACAGGAACACCAGGGAGAAGGCAGGCACGCAGCTTGCAAGCTGCCCAGCTTTATTATTTCTTGAAACAAAGACATCTCTTAGTGCAAATATTTTTCAAGGGGTGCAAGAGATTAAATAAGTGTGACAAGTCTCTTTCAGACACATCCATTCTCCTTTTGGGATCATGACCTGGGAGATGCTGAGCAATTTATTGCTTTGCCCATCCCAGGTGTTCCTGCCCTTGGCGGTGGGGGTCAGAACTAGATGATCTTTAAGGTCCCTTCCAACTTGAACCATTCCAGGATTCTATGATTTTATGATTCCAGGCCCACCAGCAGCCACATTCCAGCTTTCCCCATAGATGTTGACGTGGCCTCATTATCCCCCAAGGAACAGTGGACCTACCCCATCCCTGCTGTGCTCCAGTGGCCTCAGCAAAGTTAAACTCAAACAGGGTCCTTCTAGAAAGTGCTTCCCCTCCACAAGGTAAACTGAAAAGGAAAAAGGGATTTGGAAATCCAAGAATGATGGGAGTAAAGAGGGACTGTCATCTAAAGACCTTCAATTACAGGGTGTTCTTATGAAAACCACAGAGCACCATGAGGTCTCGGCAAACAGGAAAGTCAAAGACTCCAATTACCTTTTTGAAGACCCTTGAAGAGGCTACAGGGCTAAGCAGTGCTCTCCCCAAACCTTGCCTTTCCAGAAGTGATGGCTTCCCGGGGCACCTTACCTTGCTGATGACCCACAGAGTCCTTGCCACCACATTTCCATCCTCACATTTACATCTCGCTCAGGAGCCGAAGCCAGAAGTGGTGGTGGTTTACACACATCTGCTGAGACGAGGAGCATCATTTCCTCCTGGCTCCCCACGTGAATCACAGCCCCCTCTGGGCAGTGCAGAATTGCTTTTGAAGAGCAGCTAGAAACACTTCAGCACTTTCTGAACAGATGAAAGGAGAGCTGTCGAAGTGCTGGATTCGGGGGAAGGGAGAGATGTTGCTTCCCGAAGGCTGTTTACAGCACCAGCCCAGACTGGCTGGGGCAGCACCAACCACTGCGGAGCTCAGGGAAAGTCACCAGCACCACCCCACACCTGTGTTTGCCATGGGAAGGAGCAGAACATTACTCAAAAAGCATCTAGTTAACATTCAAATCCCAGGAAACTCGTACACCCCCTGCTGCCACCCGGGTTTTCTGAGGCTCTGACTCCCAGCGCACTGGAGTCAGAGCTGGCCCCCGTTTTTACAGCTGGTTGGAGGGCAGAGGCTGGGAAGCACGGAAAGAGGAGCTCTGGGGGAGGACTTGGGCACATCCCAGTACTTCTCCGAAACAGAGTAGTGGAACAAGCTCCCAGGACATCACAACAGCATGACATGGATGCAGAGCAGTGCACTGGTGGCAGTAGAACCCCCTTTAGGGCAGTGGCACCCCAAAACCAGCAATGAGACCTTAAGACAGAGCAGTAGCATTTTACCCCTATTGTTTATCCCTATCTACCAAGGCCTTTCAGCAATGCACAGCTTAGGAACATCTTTCATTACTTTGCTTAAACTCTTTCCAAACCCATTTAAACTTCAGCATCCACAGTATCCCATAGCAATGAGTTCCACAGTTTGTGGCATGGCAAGCAATTTCTCCTCTTGAAACACCCCCAGAGTCATTTCACTGCAGATGCAGAACGAGATGAAAAAGCAGGAGGCAGTCCAGAGGAGAAGAAATTAAACCATCACAGCTTTAGGAAGAGCTGGCAAGGAAAGGTTAAATGAACTAGGTTCATTCAGCCTGGAAAAAAAAAAATAAAAAGAAAAAAGGAGAAGACTAAGGCACAGAGCCATAACAATCCTCCAGTAGCTTGCAGGTTATTAAGACAGCAGTCGATTGTTCTCTGTGTTCAGTGGCAGAAGAAGAAACAATTTAACTCGGAGCAAAGAAAGCTTAAGCTTAGACATTTAAAAAAAAAAAAAAAAAGACTAAAAACTTTCTCCCTAGAACAGATACAGGGAAGTTACAGAACTTTTCACCAGAGACTTCTACGTAAAGGTTAAACAAACACCTGTGTGGGGGGGAGAGAGGTAATTGATCTTTCCTCAATGCCAACACACGGAGTAGATTAGCTGCAGAGGCTCATTTCAGCCCTCTGTGATGCCAACAACAAACTTTCTAACTGCCTTCTTCATGCATTTTTAATTGCATTTTAATTTTTGTCCTTGTATAGCTTGAGACAAGTGTAAAAAACGAAGCTGTGGCTAATAAATCAGAAATTACATGTTTTCCATTTCTTCAATGTAATAAAAAGATGTAAAAGTGAGAACAGATATATGTTAAGCTATACAGTTATGCCAATAAATATGCATGGGTGTCGCGTCCCCTTTTGCCTTGCCAAAAATAGTACCAAATTATGCCAACCAATGAGAAACCAGGTTTCATTAGGAAATGAACTTTAAAATACAAGATTAAAACGTGGTTTTTAAATCAAGATTTCCTGCTTGC